TTACGTAGAAACTTACGTAGCCTGAGTGAAATACCGAGCACCTTACGTAGAAACTCACGTAGCATAGCGGTGTCGTTTTTCTTGCCATGATCGCTTTTCTAAATTTGAAGGTCTTGTAGCTACGAAATGTTATTTGTTGCAGGTCATGTGTGTGTTGTGTGTGTGTGTGTGGTGTGTGTGTGTGTGGTGTGTGTGTGTGTGTGTGTGTGCAGCCGTTAATGCCCCACGCTTGGCCCGTGGGTAAATATACAGTCATGTACGTGTTATGTGCCACACCAATTTCGCTATCTGTATAATAATATGCAGCACAGTGGCAGGCATAGAGAGAGACGTTTTAATGAACTAGACGCAATAATTATTATCGAAGAACATTCTCGAATACCTGGGTGATGCACGAATTTTGATAGTGCTCACTTCCGTTAATCGTTTTTCTTTGTAATTTTCCATTCATTTTTTGCTTTAATTCATATTTGCTTTGTTTTCCTAGCTTACTATTGCCGTGGCTGGCTCAACGCCCTTGTCTCAGGGGATTCTGTCCCTGCATTAGCTATGCTTGTTACATGCTATGAGATTGTGTCTAATAATAATAATAATAATAATAATAATGTCTCTGATGTGAATTCTTCACTACTACCTTGTACTTGTATGATCGAGCGTACAAGTGTGTGTGTGTGTGTGTGCTTGTAGGATTGAGCGTACAAGTGTGTGTGTGTGCATTTCCAGATTTGTGTGCTTCTCTTGCGACGGGTGTCTACATGGTGTTTGTGTGTGTGTGCATCCGTGAATGCCCCACGTGTGGGTAAATATACAGTCATGTACGTGTTCTGTGCCATACAATTTTGTTATCTGTATAATATTATGCAGCACAGTGGCAGGCATAGAGAGAGACGTTTTAAAAATGTCTCTGATGTGAATTTTTTACTACTACATGTACTTGTATGATCGAGCGTACGAGTGTGTGTGTGTGTGGGTGTGTGTGTGAGTGTGTGTGTGTGTGTGTGTGTGTGTGTGTGTGTGTGTGTGTGTGTGTGTGTGTGTGTGTGTGTGTGTGTGTGTGTGTGTGTGTGTGTGAATGTCCCACGCATAGCCACGTGCGCGGTGCCACACGATTTCATTATGTGTAGAACAGCGGCTGGTAGAGAGATAGAGGCAGACACAGAAAGACATAAACAGAGGGATGCGCATAAAGAGCGAGAGACAGAGACACAGACTCATAGACAGAGACAAACAGACAAAGACATACAGAAAATAACGAACAGACAGACAATCGGACCCAGAAAGACAGAAACAGAAACAGAGGGACAAACATTAAGGAAAAAAGAGAGACAGACAGACACACCGACTGAGGAGAAAGCAGACAGAGACAGACAATCAGACACAGAAAGACCGAGAGAGAAACAGAGGGACGCTGCTGTCGCACATAATGAATGACAAAAGGAGGTGAACTCATAAAATAGTGAGCCGAAGAAATTCGATTAAAAAGCCGATTCACAAACCAGGTAAAGACAGGAAAAGAGAAAGAAAGATATGTGCGCATAAACCCTGCACCCGTGCACGCACACACACACACACACACACACACACACACACACAGAAGGGAGTTGATAGGTGGAGAATTTCGAAAACAGGGGACCCAGTGTGCCCTCAAGGAGATAAAGAGATAGAGATAGATAGAGAGATATCTTGGGCAATGTATATTCGGCCCTGGTTTAAATCTGGCTTTGGAATCTATTTTTCATTGTAATCAAGTTCGGCCTCATTTCTCTGTGCTGTGCTAATGAGTCCACAAAGGACGAAACAGTTCTGTCCCCAGATTGGATAGATAGATAGATATAGATGAAGATAGATAGGTAGATATAGATGAAGATAGATAGAGAGAGGGGGGGAGGAAGAGAGAGAGAGAGAGAGAGAGAGAGAGAGAGAGAGAGAGAGAGAGAGAGAGAGAGAGAGAGAGAGAGAGAGAGAGAGAGAGAGAGAGAGAGAGAGAGAGAGAGAGAGAGAGAGAGAGAGAGAGAGAGAGGGAGAGGGAGGGAGAGGGAGAGAGAGAGAGAGACAGAGGGGGAAAGAGAGAGACATAGGCAGCTGTCTTGGTCATTATCATCCGATGCATTCCGTGTGGCATAGACCAGGTGTGCATTGAGAATCTTTTCACAAGGCCTCGCAATAATTATAATTATGGGACTGGGCAGTGATTTGGTGTTAGTCTTGATATGTTTCACTCAGGTCATGTCTGATATCGTTGGCATAAGAGAAAATCATTGTGTGTACCGGTATATCCACTGCACTTGCAGACTTGCGTGTCTCTCTTGCGACGGATGCACATGGTACTAAGGTTGCGTTTCTTCGGTGCCATTCCGCCACCATTCCAAAGTCATTCCGCCGTGTTTTGATTCCGAAGCGTTTGTTTGATGCACTGCACAGCGTTTGTTCGGTGCAATTCCGATTCCGGTCGCGGGATGAAGGGTGCAGAATCGATTCTGGCGATTCCTAAGAAAAAGTGGAATGAGGTCTCATTACGAGCGGAATGAAGATGTGCGAAGGGGCTTCGTCGTTGCTGCATACCTCCCCAACAAAACTTCAAACGCGATTATCGATATACAGACATGTTGGCGGACCTCGTCCAGTGTGTAGGCTGGTGCTGTAACCTCGGGGACGGCATACCGGTAGTAGCTTGTTCATGGTATTTTGACCCTTGGCTACCTGAGAAAGTGTTCGCCTGGGATCGTTGATGAACAGACCCAAGGTCGGCAGAGCAGCCCAGACCACGCCACCACTCCCCTTATTTATGGCTCACACATGACAGGTTAACGTGGCTCTAGTAGAAAAAAATGGAAATATGCCCTCGTAGCTCAGCTCTTCATCGTCGTCGAGCATGGCCTTTAGAATCACAGGGAGGCGAGCCAGAACAAATTGGCCCAAAGAGACACCGAGCCTGCCACTTCACTTCTTCTTACAACAGTGCCTCGTCTCTGTCAAATAAACACGAGAGCTAGAGACGTTTCTGTGACTGATACGAGGTCGAATTGCATGATTAAGTAGCGGACTGGTTTTAATTCTTGCACACGTTTCCAGGAGTCCAGCCAATTAATAGCAGCCGAAGCTATTTCAATTCTGCTATCCTCTAATGCAGACTAGCAGTAAGAGACATTTGTCAGATACCAGTAACCATGAGGTACTGATACGATTCTCTTCGGCAAGCCACCCACTCTGCTAAAAAATGCTCTAAATTAATAATCTGTCATCTGCCTGCTTGATCCAACTTGACAGTTCTCCTGACAAGTGAAAACCGCTGGCGTTGTCCGGCCATACACACCATTATTGGCATTAGTCCAACGCATTAATCCAACGCCTCCGTTGCTTCTCATCTCTGTCGAAAAACTAAGGGCATGTTTGATTGGTAGGATCGGGATCCCGATCCACCGGATCTACTGGATTCGCACATTTTCGATTGGTCGAATCTGGATCCGGATCCTTCGGATTTGGATCCGGTCAACCCACCTCGGGGAGCAGGGTTTACCGGATCCAATGGATCCAAATGTGACCTTTATTATTATTGGCAATAAATAAGATAAATTGTGCACTCATAACAACAGCAAAAATGAAGAAAGTCAAGTTCCATAACGTTTTCTTGTGACTGTCATCAGTGGAACGCCGTCACATAAAAATGTAATAACTAAAACACACACTTATATACATGTAGCTAATATGGTTTCAGGTAGAAATACAGCAGCTAACAGGTACAAAAAGGTCGATTGTTTATTATTATTATTATTAACTTATATTTTACTAGGGTGTTTCCCACAGACCTATGGTCTTCTTACGGGAGCCCCTAGGAAGGTTATGCATGAGCAAATAAATGAGCGGTAATCGGTACAAGTACGAACAGTGGAAGGCAGCATATTCCACCGGTCAGCAGCGAGATAGCCAATCCGAGAAAAGCTAGCCGTACTCTGTGCTGGGGGTAATGCCAAAGAAAAAGACACCTGGGATCTCGTAGTGGCAGTGGTGTGAGAGCTACAGCAGCGGCTGGTAAAGATTTCTTGAAGCAAAGAGCTGCATGTTCCGCTATGGATGTACCGGAACAAAAGAATGAACAATTTCAAATTGACGCGCACCGAAATATGATAAAGGCTGTAAAGGCTAAGAATGTGTGAAGCACTGGTAAACTTATCAAAACCAAATACTATTCTGAGGGATCTATTGAACAAACGGACATACTTATCATAGTTCATAGAACTTAGGGAATGGATATAAGCGCTGCTTGCATACTCCAAGGTTGACTGAATGACACTTAAATAGAAGGTACGCCGAGCATGGTATGGCAGAAGATGGCGGGATAAGCGGTATGCACCAAGTTTCCTGTTGACAGAGCCTACAAGGTTGTCTATTTGTGGGCCAAAAGTCAAGTTTTCGTCAAGTACAATACCCAAGTAGCGAGCAGACTGCGTGCGGGGAACATGGACACCATCAATGGTGACATAGGCAGACATCGGGACATCGGTGGTCTTGCGGTGGAGCAGTATGAACTTCGTTTTAGCCGGATTTAATTTCATTCGCTTTCCTTTCAGATAATCCGATAACTTAATAAGATCGCCGTTCAATTTGTCCACGACTTCTTCAGTAGTGTCACCAGCTGCATACATGTTAACGTCGTCAGCGAACTGAAGTACAGATGAGGCACTCACACATCCAGGAAGGCCTCTTACGTAAATGCTGAATAGCACTAGGCCCAACACAGACCCCTGCGGCACTCCTTGGCTGCACGATGCACGAATCAGATTGTCCGGCGCTATGAGCTGCTGTGTCCTGTCACTCAGGTAATCTTTGAACCATGCCAAAGCCGCATCACCAACTCCACAATTAAAAAGTTCGTTCAGTAGCAGCTGATGGTTGACGCTGTCGAACGCCTTCCTCACATCTGCGAGAACGACGCCAACGACCTTCTTCGAATCGAGATCCCTTTGCCAGCTGTCGATCGCAACAGCCAGAGCCTCTTAACATTAATGATGCCGTCTGTACGCAAATTGTTGTGGCGGGATGATGGTGGGATTCTCCAGTAGGAGGTGAGTAAGCTGGCGATATACATGCTTCTCCAGGACCTTACTAGCAATGGGCAAGAGAGAGACGGGTCGGAAGTTTCGCGGCTCTGAGCGGTCTCCGCCTTTGAAAAGGGCTCTGACGGATGCGTGTTTGAACAAAGCTGGAAACTTGCTCTCCTCAATGGATGCCTTGAATATTGCACACAGTGAGCCTGCTAGAACTTCATGGCAATTCTTAAACAGGATCGAGGGTATTCTGTCCGGCCCCGGAGCCTTGTGCACGTTCAGAGTGCGAAGAATCTTCAAGATGTTGGTGACTGTAGGCTGCGGTATGGATAACATTGACGGCTGGCGATGTGAACCGAATGGACAGAGAAGTGGCAACCTATCAGGATCAGTGACAATTTGTTGGAAAACCTGTGAGACTCCTTTGTGGTCGATTCCTTCGCCACTGTCCTTAGCCTTTCTGCGGAGCAATGCATTCATCAGGACCCATTGGTTCCGGGGCTGTTTCTTCACCGACATAAATTCATTCTGGTAATACCTGGAGCGGAGACGTCTGTTCAATAGCGTTCCTTCCCGCCGCACCCGACGGTATTCTTCTAAAAGGGCCGAATCGTTTGATCCTTTCTTTCTGACTCGACGGTGGAGGTACTGTCGCCGTGCAAGGAGAGACGTAGCTTCTCGAGTAATCCATGGCTTTGGCGATCGCTTAATCAGTTGAATGTTTTTCACTACATGTGGATCTAGCTCGTCCAGGACATCATTAATGCTGCCATGCCATTTGTCTGCAAGGTCATCAACAGTAGTGTCAGCGGTGATTTTGTTTCCAGTCTCCGTGAGGGCTGAACCAATTCTTTCTGACATCTCTTCAAAGTCAAGTGTGGAGAGAGGCTTCTTTCGAGTTCTGACACGGATACGTTGTGGTCTGTCCACCTGGCTTCCTATTTCAAGACAAGCCTTTACAGCAAAGTGATCACTAATGGGATCTGGGATGACATTCACATTAACAGCAGTGATATCGCTAGTAATGCAGATTACATCCAAACAAGACGTGGAACGGAATCTGGTTGGCTCAGCCACTACATTACGAACATTGTGGGCAGCACACATATCTCTGAAGTGGGAAGGAAGTGGATCGGATAAACAGTCTACATTTAGATCTCCTAGAATGCATAGCGAACCATGCTTGATTTGGCGAGTCACATCATCAATATAGCTAGTAAACTGTTCCCAGAATCCTACTCTTGACGACGGGGGTCGGTACACACAAACTATAGGCAGGCACCACGTGATGCGTCCGGGTCTGCGGAACTCTAGTACCACACTCGCTGCCTCAAGCTCGCTATCATGTGGGCTTAAGTGAACGAAACCCATCCGTATTGTTCTTCGAACATACAGCAGTACACCACCTCCTCCCTTTCCTCCACATCTGTCCCGTCGAATGAGTTCAAAACCAGGCCGTGAAATCGTCGAGTCCGCGATCGACGCATCCAGCCAAGTTCCAGTAATGCATAAAATGTCCAATGTATGTGTAACGATTAAGTCATGTATATATAAAAGCTTGTTCCTAATGCTGCATATATTAATGTGGCAGATATTGAGAGACATGCACGTAGATCTACATGTACGTACCGGAACGACGGATGCATCGTCATCATCAGGCAGGGCTGATGTACACCTTGAGTTGGGCAAAGCGCGCACGCTACAGCTGTTCACTGTGTCCGGGCCCGCCATGTCCGCTGCCAAACCACCGTCGCCCCCCTACGCAGATCGCGATAAGACCTGAGCGATCTCCTCATCAGTCATTGCTTTCCCCTTCAGCATGATAGTATACCTAGGAAGCGTACAGCGAATGTTGTGCTCCCTGAGCTTACGGAACGTAGGCCACACATCGTTGCGTTTACTCTGCTCATCACGGGTAAGATCATGTACAACGTAAACCTGTGTGTCGCCAAGCGCTGCCTGATGTTTTGTTTATTGCGCATCAGGTGATCTTTGCCTGCTCTTGACAGCCGGACGCGAACCAGGCGGGGTTTGTTCGGTCGTGATGACTCATTGGCCGTAGATCTACGATCTCTCGGTTTGCCCAGTCTCTCGGCGCTGAGCACATCCTGGGGGTTGAGCCCATTTGGGATCAGTCCGTGTACTGTCTGCACCAGCTGGGAAGATGTTTCCGCAACATTTTCTGGCACGCATCGCAGAATGACGTTATCCGCGCGAGCCACACGCTCAGCCTGCTCCTGAATGCAAGAATGTGCCAAATTTGGTGTCGACTGTGCAATGACGTCCCCAAGTCTAGCAGACAGCTTGGCAACATCCTTCTTGATGCCGGAAATGGCGGATTCCCCGCCAGACGACATTCCACCAGTCAATGAGGTCCCTGAAACACACCGGGAAACTTCACTTGCCAGTTTCTTGTTTGAGGTGCGGAGCTCTTTTAATTCTCGCTCAGCATTGGCAAGACGATCCTCGACACTGGACAGGCGCTTGTCAAACGCTGTCAGTAGTTGCTTCGTGGTGGTCGCCATGTCCTCCCGAAACTCCTTGGCAAACGTTGTTAGAAAATGCATCACTTTGTCCAAAGGGACTGTGCCGGCTGAAGGTGTAGGTATGGCAGATTTGTCCGGCAAGCGAGCAGTTTTCGTCACGGCAATTGGCCGTACTGTGACCGTGTCGCTCGAAAGCTGGTCCTCCATTAATTTTAATAAACTTTCGGTCGGGCTCGCTGCTTTGGCTTTACGACCAGCTGCTCGTCCCATGTCCTGCATGGGTGTTCCTGGTATGACGTCTGGACTACACGGACTTTTAGGAGATCCTACCCTCCCACGACCAGCATGGGGTGGTGAGGTTACTCGCTTCAGAAAACTCTTAACTGCACTCGACATGTTTATTTACTACTTTGTGCGTATATGGCGGGTAAAAATCGCTTTTGTACACATTGTGGTACGCACACGTGGATCGAGATAGAGCTTGCTGACTTTTTGTACAACTGGCGCGGTGAGTATGACTTTTTTTATTATTTCGTCAACATGGCAACAGTCAAGGCCCAAAAAGGTGTCCAGTTGACTCTGAAGGATCCGACGGATCTGAGATCTGAATCCCGATCCTTACCACCAATCGAACATGCCCTAAAATACTTATTATTATTATTATTATTAAATTTTTGATAGGGCAATCCCCACAGGCCTAAGGCCTTTTGACAGGGTACCCTAAAAAATGAAGAACAGAATTACGGAAGGTATGCAAGGAAGAACTTGAGCGGACCTCCGCTGGGAGGGCATTCCAGCGGTCAGAGCCAAGGAAAGTGACAGAAAATAAACCATAGCGACGTTTGGCTGTCGGAAGAGCAAGGGAAGAGGACACTTGAGAGCGGGTGCGAGAACTAGTGCAGGTAGAATTAGAGCGGAGACAGAAACAGTTAGCAACAAAGACACTAGCCAGATCATGAAGCGCACGGTGAACGTACAGCTTGAATTGGTACCTGACAGACAAGGGAATGATATGGTAGCGGGCAAGAACAAGGGAGACATCAGATAGGCGGGGCATGCAAAATACAATACTTGGAGCTACAAACTTCATTTTCAGAGACAGGGAGTTGCACGAGCCATTTTTTTTGTTTTTTTGTTTTTGACAAGATCAAAAGGAAAGCTTTTACAATAATAACAAGAGTACTCTTGATAATAATAATAATAATAAAACGTAGCCTGAAAAATGTAAAAAGTCACTGAGTACAGTTTAATTCAATATCCATGTCCAGTATTTACGAGCAATGACCATTTTATCAGCCAGCAATGACTATGTGTTACTAAAGCAAAGGCGCTTGCGGGAACAGAAACAGCAACGTTTCTTTCTCAGCAAAACAAATAAAAAGGGAAGGAACAAAAAAGGATCAACACCAGGGATTTGTCCATACCCGGTACCCAGGTGTGTATCCCTGGAAAAGATCTTCCACAGATTCCAGTACAAAGGCCACGGCCAAGTGTCCCACTGAGGTGCGGTCGCTTGCCCAGACCGCTGGGACGCGGACACCTACAACGAAGAGCAGCCTGTGACGTCTATTTGTTATGACCAGGGAGTCGTAAAATACCTGGTTATGACAGAAAATCCGCAAAAAAAGTTGGGCTTGTCCCTTTCGCAAAAATAATAAGGCACCCATTTTTGATAACCCAGAGGATCCCGGGATGGCCCACGCCTGGTAAAAAGAATGAAGTTGTGGAAAAACCACGGAGTAGTAAAATACCTACGTACTGGGAAAATAAAAAGCCGCATATTTGTACTCCTTTCAGGCGAAGCGCCAGCACCCCAAATGAAGACTTTTTTTATTTTCCGTGGTGGGAAATCGAGCTTTTCCAGGTATATACAGCCTGTAGAAATTCAACGCTGAGAATTTCCAACTATTGTCAGGTTTTGGTCTTCTGCCACCGACCTATCCTTTGAAGGAGAATGCTGAAACCAGTTGGCTGCTCTTCAGTAGTTCTTTCTCTATCGTATACATATTTTGTATGTCGACACATGCCGTGTGCGACGACGTAGACACTTCTCAACACTTGAGTGACTTGAATTTGGCTATGATGACCGAATGTCATTGGACCGTGGAGACGAGTAGAGCTACTAGAGGGCTCAGGCTCGATCGGCACAACGGGTACGTATAGCACAAGGGTAGGGCTAATGATATATCAAGTTGTTTGCTGTGCACAACCTTGTGGCTGAATTCGGCACGAAATTCTCTGCTCGCCAACTGTTGAGTATACCATGCAATACGTAGGTTTAAACTCATGTTACAGTGCTATTACGGTTGCAACCCTCTTTCAAATGGCGACATAGCCAACAACCACATAATCCATATCAAATCTTGCCCCTTGTTTTCTTTCTAAGTGTGAAAAATAGAAATAATACCAGTCCTAATCATTGGAAAATGCAAATCACGGTCTATTATCGACACATCGTACTGTCGCGGACATGGAAATCCAGTCGATTGACCGGGGCCGGCGCCCTCAGCGCGTACAGAACGTTGCATGCAGTGCACATGTTGATCCAATGGCACCATCAGCAGCGCATGATAAACCGTGCTACGGCTGAATGGCCAGCGCCCTGGGGCCGCTATACGTGCGACCGGATTTCCATGTCCACGACAGTAGTACCATGCAGCCTGGTAGTGCATTTGGAGCAGGAAAGTGAATGGTAGCACTGCGGTGGTGAACACATGAGCTGATGACAACCATCGTCGTCTTGTTGGTTTGTGCTGTCTCCAGTTCATTGCAGGTTGAACGAGGAATGAACGTCTACTCTTTCTTTCCAAAACTGGCTGGGCACACGCCAATGAGACGGAAGCTAGTGCCAAACCAGTCCTTGGAAGTTTTGTTGTGCTGGTGGACTTTCAATCATCATGTTAAGTATATTCCGGTTTCTGAGTCTTCGTGTGCGCCTGAAGAGCTACACTGTGTAGAGATGTTGGAAGTTTATCCTGCTCGCGACACTGCACCAAGTACAAGCACTTCCTCGGCACTGCCTGAGCCCTGCTCTGTGTTAACTGTGACCAGGAGAAGCAACTAGAAATTTGGAGCTTGAGCTGGAACGCTGGTGATCTCTCTCTCTCTCTCTCTCTCTCTCTCTCTCTCTCTCTCTCTCTCTCTCTCTCTCTCCATCACGCTCTGCCACTGTCCGAAACCGGTGCATGTGCTAGCATGTCGAAGCGCATTGTGTCTGAGTCACGTACTCACTCTCCTGCTCCTCCCTCATATGCCCAAGACAGTATGACCAACTGTGAATACGGTTCATGCCCACATGTGAACTTGTGTGATTCTCTTGTAGTAAGCTGCCACGTGTGCACATGTGTGTGTGTGCGTATGTGTATCTATGGGACTGCGTTCTCCTATTCTTTCTCCGGTGCCTTCGAGGCCCACACAACCCTTGTGGCAGTGGCTCGACAGCACAGGGCAGGTGTGTGTGCGCGAGTGCATGTGTGTGTGTGTGTGTGTGTGTGTGTGTGTGTGCGCGCGCGCGCGGGTGCATGCACATGTGTGCGCGCGTGCATGCAGATGTGTGTGTGTAGGGGTGTGCGCACGCTGATGCTCAGCTCTCCAGAATTATGTCCGTGTGCGTAGCCAGTGTATGGTGGCAACATAGCCTTCCTTCATGTATATTATCAAGAGTACATAACCCCCCCCCCCCCCAGAGTGTGCAACGCCTGATCCAGCTCTGTGTAGGGTCTTGGTCGAGCGGAATCGGATCTTCTGATGTCATGCGTACACTTCACACCAGCGCAAGGCCTGTCTCGAGGCAGGGCACCATTGTTTTTGATCCAAGAGTACCCGCGACTCCCCGGGTTCCCCTCAGATGTGTACGGTATTATGACGCAAAGATCCGATTCCGCT